TTCACTCAACAGTTTCATCCTACAACGCACCATTTCTAGGCACCAGCTGAGGGGCAAGGCTGTATTACACACCTGGCATTGCCAGCAATAGCTTTGGAATGAGCGGCGTGCTCCTGAGAGCTGCCATAGCAAACAGAGCTGCGAACCCCGGCACACTGGATGGCTGCCATTTGGAAGCTCTCCACCACAAGTTCCTGCCATTCAGTCATTTTATTGAGCTTATTGCAAAGGGATGTGTAAAGAAAAAAAAAAAAAAAAGGTATCCTCACGGTACGCTGCAAAAAAGCATGAAAACCTCAGGAAACTAATGCTAACGCTGCATGCATCACCTGCCCAGACACTGGGGCAACCACTGTCCCCGTTTGCCTCCCGAGAGAACTCTGGTTTGTTCTGAGGTCCAGCAGACCATCAGGAGCTCATCAAAATGAGCACAGGGTGATAGGAGAAAAGACTTCCCAAGAACTCAGGGTTTTTTTTTTTTTTTTTTTAAGCACAAGACACAAGGTCACACCATTACATTTGCTCATAAGAGCAAACAATATTCTGGTGCAGTGTGACTGGCTTGTTACGCATGCAGGGGGAGGGAGGAGGGAGACGAGGCTTTGGGCTTGACTACAGATAGCACTGAGCTAGGAGGAAGCTGCCTGCAGAAATTCAAGTTGCCTCAACACTGGGAAATGCACGCTTGATTTACGTGACCACGAGGCAAAGACCCTCTTATGGAGACAAAGGAGCGTGAAGCAGAATTGACACCATGATAACCACCAGAGAAGCATCTTTCAAACGAGTTTTCTGTGAAGTAAGCCTAGGTCTGTTGTGATCACTTGATACCCAGGGAATCACCAGAGCTGCTTTTCCATTATAGCTCCTGCATTTCACAAATGGACTAAGATTGTTGGTAAAAAGCAGTTTGTTCAGAGAACATCCCTGCCAAATTCTATTCCGAGAGAGGAAAAAAAATTGTCAGACAAGCCTTTTTTGGTCAGACACTTTATGCCTACTACTCACTATTTATTTTTTTGTAACAGACCTTTATTGTCTGAACCAGAGCTTTATTCTCTACTCTCTAAAGTGCAGCCACTTAAAGGTTTGGGGGTTTTTTTGAAAAAAATTAGGATTGCTGCCACTGAGAACATGACAGTAGCTCACACAGGAGGAAGAGAGAAAGGGACAGCGACTGGGTATTGATAAAGCACACCACAATTCTCACCTATTACGGCACATTGAACACTTTGAGCACAAGAAGAGAGGGTATTTACAAGCTGCTAGCTCACATGGCCTTAAACAGCAGCTTCTGGAACAAAGAAGGAAGATAAAGGGCATATACTGCAGCACGCGTACAATGAACAACCAAATTAATCTGTGAGCTTTACTAGTCATAGCTCCCTTGCTCCCCTCCCGCCCTGCCCTGTGGGACACCAGGTTCCGAGAGCATTCAAAGACCAGCCAACTTTATGGAGAACAGCAAAGTGGTCAGCGGGCAAGTGCAGCTCCACAGCACCTCAGTCTGCACCATGTGCATCAAAGCAGACTCTGGCTTCCAGCAACCCTCGCTAGACACCCTGACATAGCACTTGTGCTTTGGCTCCTGGTGTCCTACAGTAAAACATGATGGATTTCCAAAAAATACAAATTTCTTGTATTAAAAGCGAGCCTTGCCACGCAGCCCAGTAATTGATCACTTACTTGAATACCCCCAGTGCAGTTTTACACTCGTCAGTTGGTTACAGTAATGCAGGAAACAAGTTCACCACCCTACGAACATAGGCTACGTAACGGGAACACAGAATCAACTTCAGCTGCACGAAGAACAGCCACGCCACAAATACCCACCTACATGACTTCCCTCGCACACCCTCCGCCCCTGCTCCAGCAGTCAACCTTCAGCAGGCCTCCTCCGCTTGTTTGTCCAGCCCAGCCATGAACTCTTGTTATTTTACTACCCTCAGCAGCCTGAGAAAGGGAGTTCCCGCTCGGTGCCCTAACTGACCACCTCCTGTGCTTTCCACCACCTTTGGGTGCTTGCTTTACTGAAGAGGGCAATGAACAACTGAACCTATTTGCCCTCTGTTTGCATGTAAAACCAAACCAGGAACCCCAGCCGTTTAGAAAACAACTAGTTTTCTGTCTTTTACAAGAGGAAGTATCTTTGTTAAAACCTGCTTTCATTTGAGTTTGGCTTCTCTTACTCATCGGACTTAACTATTTTGACATCTGTACAGCATACTTATTTATAAATTGGATTTTACAGCATCACAGTATTTTCAATCACAATGGTGCTAGTTGCGTTTATTTCCAATGGAGAGCACCTGTATCCGCCATTACATATCTAATCAGGCTTTTTATTCCAATCTCAAAAAAATGGCAATATTTAAATAAACGTGTTTGCTGAACACACAAATGGTTCAGTAGGAAAGCAAACATAACTTTTAACACAGACTTAATCAGTTTGAAGTAGTCGAATTCCGTCATGAGACACGTACGTATTCAGATTTTTCTGTGACAATTAAATGCATTTTCTTATGCCACTCATCAAATGTATGATATGAAAGGGCCAGAAAAACAAACTCAGCCAGTAGCAAGACTGAGTGTGATATTTCCATAAATCCTACTGTGATAAACAGCGCCCAATTAGCAGAATTATGAACTGCATGCAAATAAGAGTACACGCTACCATACCCGACTGGGTAGAAGAACTTCCCTGCTTAGCTGCTCTGTTACGAGTCGCCTGTGATGATTATGAAAGCGGAACAGGGAAAGTTGATGCATTCACTCATTTTCCCTTCCGCAACAAAAGAAATCCCCAGGCCACCTCCACATAAAAGGACAAGCTGAATGGTGCACTGCCCCGTCTCTTCGCGGCTAATGAAAACGATACGTAATGCCAACAGCAAGGATTTTTTTTCTTCCTTCCAAGTGTGTGCTGTCTGCATAAGAACCAGACCCTGCTGTGCCAGGCATTTTGAGAGGGACAAGCACAGGGTGCTACACCTGAAGACTATACTTACTTCATTTTCCTCCAGGCCAAACAAACTGCAGCTTTAAGGCTGCATATAGCTTTTTGACTGATCACAAAAGATCAAATAATCTCAGCAGAGGAGGAAAGCACACAACAACAAAAAAAAATAATAATAAAAGCTGTCTGGGAGACAGGGAGCTCTCGGCGTTCACACCGTTAGCACAGAGAGGGTTTAGTGGTGGGATGGCAGGGTTCGGTTAAAGGTTGGACTCGATGATCTCAAAGGACTTCTCCAACCAAAGTGATTCTAGGATTCGATGACACTGCCTTTCCCGGCCGCTTCCAGCTCTTTTACAACAAAAAAAAATAATAATAAAAGCTGTCTGGGAGACAGGGAGCTCTCGGCGTTCACACCGTTAGCACAGAGAGGGTTTAGTGGTGGGATGGCAGGGTTCGGTTAAAGGTTGGACTCGATGATCTCAAAGGACTTCTCCAACCAAAGTGATTCTAGGATTCGATGACACTGCCTTTCCCGGCCGCTTCCAGCTCTTTTCAGGGATGCATTCAGAAAGCCCGGCGTGTCCCAACAGCCACCAAAGCCAAGGCACCAGCTCTAGAAAGCGGCGCCTTCGGGCGTCC